CATGATCAGATTTAATATTAGAGTTGTCCTTACAGTTTCTCTGCTGAGCTTACGATTTTGATCGTGGCATCAATGAATCTTTGTGGTTCTCACTCTCGTTAAGTTTATTTGTTGTTGATCGAGTACTATCCCATGCTAAGATAAACTTTAACTATCAATTAGGCATTTATCCTGTTAGTGTGAGAAAGAAAAATTTATTTATGTGTTACTACTATTAGAGGAGCTTCTGAAAACATATTTCCTGCATTGTTCAAGCCTGAAATGTTCTCTTTAATTTGCTTCTTTCAGAAACCAAACGCATGCAGTTATCATGCACACCTTCACCATTCGACAGCCCTTTTATTATCAATATTTCTCGGCTTTTTGGGTATTGATAGGATGTATCTTGGATACTACGCCGTTGGTACGTTTTCTCACACTGTATTTTACTAAACCATTTGTGTGTTTGAAAAACTTCTTTACTTGGCATATCCAGGCGATACTGCAACCACAAAATGTTACAGGCATTATAAAAATGTTTTCGCTGGGAGGTCTGTTTGTACTGTGGCTTATTGATGTGGTACTTATTGCATTACAACTTCTACAACCAGCAGATGGCTCAGGCTTTATCATAAATTATTATGGTCCTCGCGTCTCTCCTCTAAGGTACATTCCATGTTTTGCCAATGTTCTCNCTCGAATTACAAAGACTTTTATAGCGCTTTCCTCATTGCAGGTTTGATGGAGCTACGAATTATTCTGTGTACACATGCATAGACTGTTTATGATAACGGTGAAGGAATTAATATGTATTTGTGTCAGTTTTCATATTTTTGCATGTACATATTGAGATCAGGAGATAAATGTTTTTCCTCGTCTGTCAATTGTGTTAGTTTCATTCGAATGATCGAACTATGAGTTATCGTTGACTATGTGAATCCGTGTTGGTATTGCATATCGAGTTTTTCTGCTAATTATTCTCTCCCGTGATGAAATTTTGTTCGAACCATTCGTTTTTCTTGCTAGTCCCAGCAATTTTTCTTGATGTTTCGTTTGCTGAGTGGAAGCTTGTCCTGGTTTTGAGCGCTGAGAACTTCTTGTTTTATAGTAGGCCAGGGAATTTCTTGTTTTAGTAGTAGGGCCGAAGTCTGTTTGGCAAAATCGATATTTCTTAGAAGCTTCATAACTCTTTCTTTTTATTCAATTTCTGTCATAAAAGGTCCAGTAGCATCACTGATGAGGAGCAAACAAGTTCAATCTCCCATTTTGCATACAGTTCCACGGGATTGTTCGATACTTTTCTATTCAGCAGAGGTCTGACTGGTACGTTGTGGCACATCCGTCCCTCGTTTCATCTTTTCATTTCGAAGCAGTAAATAGTCACGTGGTTTTTTATGGCAATAATTTGTTCTGCTTGTTTTTATTTCCCGTGCTTAACAATTCTCTAATGATCACTTGAATAATTTTATGAAGGAGTTATTGTTTGGACAATGATAACTATGATATAGGGGTGCGCGATGCTGTGATTGATGTCATGAGCTCTTTCTATGGCGGTCGAGCATTTCGTTGCTCGGATTTACGTGAGACCATAAGCTGATCCCTGATTGAAGCAGCTGAATCCTGCTTCCGAGCACTTGCGCTCCCACTGACGCGAAATTCATAGGGACAGTGTCCCTCATTTATCGCAAATTAGTGCTAAGTTCATTGCGCCAAACGCAGATACAATCTTCTCACCGTGTTATTTGCGTTGATTCATGTAGTTTCGTTGCCCCATTGGCAAATGGGTTTCTTCAACCGATCCTGTGTTCCTCATCCGTAATATCAGTGTCGCTGGAGTTCTGAGGTTCATAGCAAGCATTGGAATGGAACTCAGCAAGTTCTGCTGCTGTCCAACCTTCCCTTTTTTTCTGGGGTGTCGTCACGTCCTAGAACATCCAAACCAGAGGAAATATGTGTGTGTCTAGCCATCCATGCTTGAATTACCAACATGACTCTTCGAATTAGCTAAAAAATTAGGTATGTGTCAATAGCTCCATATCTACAATTAGAATTACATTTGTCAGAATTAGAATTAGAAGTGGAGTTCCTTGGAAGCAATGCTCAAGTGCTTTCAAGGACTCAAGTGTGGCTGGGAAGAAGTGGAGGAGGCGTACCTGCAAGTAAAATGAGAGGAGATCGAGAAGAGACTTTGGCCCTCTATCGATGCTGGGAGATATTTTAAAATGTGTTAATATCTTTTTGTTGAAAAAAATTCAAGCAAACTTGCATATAAATTTCATTGTCATTCCCACTTAGAGGCTTCAAATACATTACAAGGAGTAGGCGCCCATAATTTTGGGACAACCTGTACATGAGAGAAAGTTGCTTCGCTAGAGTTTAGAAAAAACAGCTTGAAAAAGGATCTTAGTCAAGTAGGTCAACTACTATTTGCTGTCATGCGAGAATTTGTAGTGGGCTTAAAAACAGCTTTATTCGACCTTTCTCAGGTCCTTTATTCTGAGCTTATGTTACTGCTCACTGTATGTATTCTTCCTAGCAAGTTGACCTATTTTGTTTCCTTGAATAAACTTTTTTNTTTTTTCTAATCTGTTCTCTTCATTGCAGTAAACGATGGCCACTGAACAACAGTTGGCGATGGTTGCTGAATTGGAAATGGAAATGATGTCGGATATGTACCGGCGGATGACAGCGGCTTGTCAGGAAAAATGCATTGCAAGGACGTTCAAAGAGGCAGAACTTACTAAGGTGCGGGTAGTTTACACCCCTACGAATCTGTTCGCTATATATGTATTCCCGTTCAGGGTGAGGCAGTATGTCTTGACCGTTGTGTTGCCAAGTATCTGGATGTCCATGAGAAGTTAGGCAAGCGCTTGACGCAAATGTCTCAAACTGATGAGGCCGCTCTTCAAAAGATGAGCGAACAACAACATCACTAAACTGAGCTCTTCCCGAAGTGATCTCGTTTTCACCCATTGTATCCTCATCACAATGGTCACCTAGGAGAAATTTCTACTAAATTAGTGTGTCTTATTGTTATAGGCCTTTTCTAGTTTTCCAATAGGTTGCCCACGGTTGTGTGGTATTTTATCAGGTTGGAATATTTTGTTATGAGAGAACTACGATTGTTTGTTACTGGTGAAAAGTTCCAATCAGGACTTCATCACCTGTTAATTGTTGAGTAAAGGTTTTTATGTTATTTTGCTTTTCTTTAAGAATGAAAAAACGACTGTCTGTTGGCAAGTAGCCAGATTTTGAACTAGATGTTCTCGGGAGATACGCTCGACATCAGGTTACATTTATGAAATGTCGTCGAAACAAAAAAAANAAAAAAAAGGCCTAATTGTGACATGGTAGTTGCCTTCAAACAGGGCCAGCGAAGTTAAACGCAATCCTTTAAATCCACGCCTATGAACGAATTTTCGAATTATCGTCAATATTACGTTAAGGAATTCCCATAAAAGTACAGTTCACGATAATTCTGAGGTACCTTTTTAGGTCGAAAAGCAGAATTGTTGATAGGGAGTAGTGTACAGGCGGTGAGGGGAGCGAAGAAATCCTTCGAAAAATATAACTATCCTCAAAATAGTGAAAATAGAGGTTGTACGAGATTACCATGACGAAATGACACGTAAGGGGTATTTGGACGAGATTTCAGTTGTTTGCAATTGCGCAAAGAGTTGTATACATCTAGCCAAATCTGTTCAGATGCGCCAGTTGTCGCTAGGGGTCGTGACAAATTGTGTGAACTCTCCACTGGTGACTTTTGCATGGTGCAGCCTCCACAATGCCGTTGAAACTCGTCCGGGCATACAAACGGGACATTCCCTGAGCATCTATAACGCCCTATCTAAGCCGTTAACCAAAGAGGATAGGAAAGGGAGAGGGCATCCCGTGACATCTATGAAAAATGCGAAGCACGTGAGAGGAAAGATTCCGAAAGAACACCTGGAGATCGATGCACCAGATGGCATAAGGTGTAGGAGTATGCGAAAGGTCAATAAGGAGGACATTCAGAGGAAAGCATAAGAGGTTTCCCCATGGTCTGCAAAAATGCCAACTCTTGACGGACACTGTGAAGAAGAGAAGATCGGAAAGATGCGAAAGGTTGGTGGAACGATTAATGGTGCCTCGCATTCCAGACATGGTCTCAAGGGGTATGATGGGCACATACATATGTACGTGCGTCCGAGGGCGTGCGTTCAACTGCCATGATGAGAGGATTATTTGGAGTTCATTTGCTGAATTACTACTGAAATAAGCCTCNGCACCAGATGGCATAAGGTGTAGGAGTATGCGAAAGGTCAATAAGGAGGACATTCAGAGGAAAGCATAAGAGGTTTTCCCATGGTCTGCAAAAATGCCATTTCTTGACGGACACTGTGAAGAAGAGAAGATCGGAAAGATGCGAAAGGTTGGTGGAACGATTAATGGTGCCTCAATAAGGGATACAATAAGGGTTATTTTGCCCCTTTTCGCGTACAGTCTGAATGTAGTGAGCAGATGGGCATGTGCTTTGAGAATTAGAAGTGACCTCGCATTCCAGACATGGTCTCAAGGGGTATGATGGGTACATACATATGTACGTGCGTCCGAGGGCGTGCGTTCAACTGCCATGATGAGAGGATTATTTGGAGTTGCTGAATTACTACTGAAATAAGCCTCCAGGAAGTGCGAAACATCCTCAATTACACCTCAATTACGGTTTCGGAAGGGAAAAGGAAAGGTCGGGTCACATTTTTAGGAAGATACCAAATATTTTTGCCGAGACTAGCGTGAAAATCAACGCACGCCTGAAAAAAGCGCTCGTGCCGTGGGCCAATTCTCATTTTGAAGAAGCCTAATGAAGCTTCCAACGAGATTCTGTTCCACTACACAAGAGGAGAGGGTCCAGGACTCCAGCGCCGAGTAGCTGCTCGATTTCTGCACACACGACGAATGACCCTCCAATTGTCTGGACCTTAACTCATGGAATGTTCTGTGTGGGCCATTTTGGAGAGAAAAAATCCCGCTTTATTGGACACTCGAATTTGGACCCTCCTAAAGAAGCGTTTCCCGAATACTGAGACGAAATCGATGAAAACTACTTGTGCGCCACATGCGCAGCGTTGTCTAACATCTTGAGAACTACGACTACTAACTGCTAACTACGACACCTAATTACGGGATGTGGAGGTTAAAGGCGATTATTTTGAAAACCTTTACTGCCACGTTAGTAGTAAGCTATTTTGGTAGGTAGAACTGACTTTCGCTTTAGTGCACCAATAATTTATCGTATTCTGCGCTGAACTATAAAAGATCCTGACGGTGTCGGCTTTGGAACAGCACCATACACAAGTGGGAAGTGCGTCTCACCCCCTTTACCGATCATTGTTTGAATCTTGTCCGAGCCAGCCATTTAGTTCCCTCCCCCTAGCTTATTGATAACCACTTTGGCTACGCACGCTAATGCGCGCATCACGACGCGCTTTGAACAGATCCTTCGTAGATGGAGCTTCCCTGTGTTTACGATTCCCTTACACATACATATCAAACCTTGCTGGTTCTTTCAGTTTTTTCTGGCCTTAAGGCTTTAGCTGAATCGATTTATGAATATATTGGTCCATAGTATCGCCCTCTCCGGCGCATCTCCCGCCCCTCGTGGGCGGAGCTCCGCTGAGCATATGTGTGCTGTGGTGACCTCGCCCTACAGGGAACCTCCTTCGGACTTGATCCAAACTCTCAGATTCTTCTTCAGGTAATATCGAATTTCGTGGTAGAAAGACAGACCTAAGACATGAGAGGCAGAGCACTAGAACGTGAATATCTCTTATAACCACATACATGTTAAATTTCCATTAGAAGGAAAATGTCAGTCTTTGATGCCGACTGATATGTTTTGTCGTGAAAAAAAAAAACTACTCGTAGACTGCAAATAACATTATCCCATAGCTAAAACGTAAGGGAAATCGTCCACCAATGAATTTAACGACACACTTTCGCATATTTCGTAGTCATTTGAAAATTGAGCAATTGATTTTGTTCAATCGATTGCTTTTCTTTTTATGTTTTTTTTTTTGATTTAAAAGTATGACACCCCTTTGCTTTCCTTTTTCTTTTTGCAGAA